TTCCGGTTTAAGTAGCTATAGGAGCCGACCGATATTACAGAATGATACTCTAGTGTGTGTGGACATGCTTAATGAATAAAACCAACTTCAAATGTACTTTAATAATGGAACTACCAGTATTACTATTCTACTCTATCACATGCGGACTTGCATTGCTTTTTATTATAAGTGACAAACTCATCTAGCATTTAGGCTTGAGAGGTTTTTTAAGAAGCTACCGGAGTTGATTCGAGGAAATTCATTCAGAAATAAGTCATCCGGATTCCAATATGTCCAGCAAATGATTCATCCGGACATGTTGGATTCTTGATGAATAGTCTTCGGATGAGTTAAAAAAAGGATTTTAATAATCCGGATTTTATGACACTTCCTCCTGCTATGTATTAATTAATTAATCCGGCAATATTCTATAGTTCTTAGTGTACTTTTTATTCTTGTCTAAAATAAGTTGATCTAATAATATGATTAAACACTTATGGATTAATGGTTAAGATATCCGGACGGACAACTGAATAGAAGATTACGAAGTTGGTTCTTGTTAAGTGCAATTTGTTCTTTTTTTCATTTTTTTTCTATCACTCATGCACTTCCGATGAAGGACAATAATATTCTACAAAACAGGAATCAGGCTTTTTTCTGACCAGTTGATTTCTTATGCTTTTGGCTAAAGTTGAATGCTTACAAAATAAACGAGCATTGATATTAATTGAGTTTAATACAGCTGCTGGTTGAAATAACAATAATAGAATGAGACTTGAGCCCATGTTGAGTTGCAGCTCAGAAAAGGATTTTCCTCTATTCTGCGTGTTCTCAAACCTTCTAATCGCATTACTTGACTTGAAGTTGGCCGAGTGATGGAAAAAAGTGTTGAAATTTCTCTTCGTTTAACAGGGCACAAATAAACGTTTTTTACTAATGAATAAAATATTTTTTTTGCGTGCCTTCAAAGTCAATGCATTTAGGAGCTTTCAGCTTTTTCGATAATATAATACGCTTTTACACATTCAACTAGATCTTTTCTCTCTCAGTATATAAGTATTCTTTCGTTTTAATAGAATTCATCGTTCTGTTGTTCCGTCTTATGTGCAGTTCTTCTCTTACGGGCTGAAATGTGTGAAATACTTTCACTAAACTCATTCGTTTGCTCAATAGGTAATATATAGTATCATTCTTTACCCTGAAAGTAGTCTAGTTCAACAACACAGAAGAGCACCCGCGATAGCTCAGTTGGTAGAGCGGAGGACTGTAGATGCAACTAGCAAACGTAATCCTTAGGTCACTGGTTCAACTCCGGTTCGCGGGATTTATTTTTATTTCTTTTTAAATTTGCGTGATCCGATCTACAATCAGTGGCGGCGCAAGTCCAAAAACTTTAGGGGGGGAGCAATAATTTTTTTTCAATGTTTCGATGGGAAAAGAAGATCTGATTTTGAGCCATTTCTACGCAGTTTTTCGAACTTTTAAGACATATTTCACCAATTTTTTACTGTTCATTTATGTTTTTACTTTTCATAACTCAAATTACTTGCCATAAACAAAACTAGTGCAAATCACATATCTAAACTGTTCACAGGATTACACTAAAAATGATTTAGTCAAAGGTACGTTTAAAGTCGAAGACTTTCACGTAGCAGGATGCCAAGAAATAATCTCTGTTTTCTAAATCTGACAGTGCAGAACGGAGAAATTTTTACTGGGGAACTGTATTAAATAACTGCATTAGAGTGTAGCAGAAAAAGTCTCAGTCCGTAGCCGAATAGTGGTAAATCTTTCTAGTCACTGAAGCTGATTTCTTTCTCACACTTATTAAATTAACTCTCACAATCTTATGATCACAATTGCCGCACAATCTATCACCTATTTCCACATTTGTATGAAATTAGCTGAACTGGTAAAAACAAGATCTATTGCTGTTTGTGTTTGTTCGTCATTGCTGATACGCATCGGTTCATGAACCATTTGTTTAAAGTTGAGCGATTCACAAAAATCAAAAAACTTTTTTCCTGTTACTGTTGTTTTATGAGTATTGCACTATTCCTCGCAATGAGCATTGAAGTCACCAATCAGGAGACACATCATAGTTATTTAACTGTAACACACCATAAATACTTTCATTGAGGAAATGGATATATAAGTCGGTTTCATTAGTCATATTTGGAGAACGATAGTTTACTCATAGTAAAATTTTACCGATTTTTGGTAAAATCGTTTCGAAAAACATTATCTCAAAGTTTTGTCCTCTAATGATGGAATACATCGTACAGACAAATGATCATGATAATAAAGCAAGCATCCTCCGCCCTCTCTATCTCTATTTAATCTTTCTAACTTATATTCATTCATGCGAATATCTTCGTCTGGTATAGAGTCATCAAGCCAAGTCTCTGTGACGGTAATGAGCGACCCAGGGCGAAGAATCTTGAAATATGATCTTGTACCTTCATACAAGATCTTGTAAGATCATATTATAAGATACCACAAGATTTCACAAGATCTTACAAGATTCCACAAGAATCTTGGTTCAAGAATCTTATAAGATTTCACAAGATTTTTCTTACAGCAAGGTCTTGTGATAAGACCTTGTATGACCTTGCAAGATCTGGAGATAAGATCGTGCAAGAAGTGACAAGATCTTGAAAGATTTCATAAGATCATGTAAGATTATGTCTCTGATTGCTGAGCTCTGTGCGATATTCCAACCACAAATTATAAGGATTTAAGAGCACCGAAAAGTCTGCTTGTTTTCCTTCCTTCCCTCTACGTAGGTTTTTGCCTTCTTAGGTTTGTAATTCTAAGATTTCTTCTGCATTTCACAAATGAAAATTTCAGATTGGTCTAGAAATGTAGCCAAGACTCAGTTCGAGATTATAATAGAGTACGATTTTTGATTTTTTTTTCTTTGCCTCCGATGGAAATAAAAGGTTTCCGAAAAATCAAGATAACTATGCTAACTTAGTGGAAACTTCTTACTTTCATCAGAGATAAAGAAAAAAAGTCAAAAATCGGACTATGTTTTAATCTCGAACTGAGTCTCGGCTACATCTCTCTCTCTCTCAAATATTTCTAGGCCAGTCTGAAATTTCATGGAGGAGAAATGGAGAAAAAATCTTTGAGTTACGACCACCTAATCTTGAGCGAACTCTGGGAAACCTTAAGTTTTCAAGCTTAAATATGACTTAATCTAGATAAGACTAACATTTGGCAAAAAATTTAGTCAGAATCACATGTTTTGTGTGGAAAATAGGTTTCTAACCGAGAAATCTTTCATGCTTTTGTCTTTTCGTTCCGTTTTGTTTCTTCGTTTTTAATAATTAATTTCTACTCTTCTAAGTACTTGAAGTACTTGTGAAGTACACGTTAAATAATGTGTCTTGGTAGATCTTTGTTTATTTTAACATAGCGGGTAGACAACAGCTACAATGACTGTACATAGATGGACAAAAGAATAGTTATAGATACATATACAGATTGAGAGTAAAGGTTAAAGTATAAAGCAGCAATTCATTTTTTGTTAATATTATTAGTAGGTTTGTCCGTATTTTCGGAAATATCCAATATTCAATTGTGAACTGACATAGAGATAATAATAGCATCCATTTTGAATTCCATTATTCAATTTTTATTTAAAATTCGACGTTTCGAAAATATAATTTTCATTTTCAAGAAAACAATAGATGAACCAACTATACTGTAACGTTAGAGTTAAAAATAATAAATATATACGTTACATTATACGTTATAGTATAGTCGGTTCATCTATTGTTTTCTTGAAAATGAAAATTGTATTTTCGAAACGTCGAATTTGAAATAAAAATTGAATAATGGAATTCAAAATAGCTGCTATTATTATCTCTGTAGTGTTAAAGTTCTTACCCGTTAACAAGCGTAACATTAATTTTACCTTAACGGTTCTTTCATCGCACAATAAACAATCTCTACTTTAATCATTTCATTTTTAACATCTCTGATATTGCTGCATAGCATCTTATAGGATCCTATATAAGATTGTTTGACGTTTGTTGAATGTTCTTTTCAACTCGAATAACTTTGACATAAAAAAACGCTAATAAGTTGTTAGTTTTGTCTCTGTAACAGATGTCAGTTCACAATTGAATATTGGATATTTCCGAAAATACGGACAAACCTACTAATAATATTAACAAAAAATGAATTGCTGCTTTATACTTTAAGTTTTACTCTCAATCTGTATATGTATCTATAACTATTCTTTTGTCCATCTATGCACAGTCATTGTAGCTGTTATCCACCCGCTATGTTAAAATTGGAATTTTGAACAGTATACCCTAGAAATGTCGAGTACACCTCATTTTGTTCAGAACTGAACTCTCTATTCACACATGTGGTTGAAAAAGTGCTTCAACAATTTTTGGCTTTAAAAAATTTTTTAGATGACCCGGATTTTCGAACCTGTTTATCTCTGAATCCCTGCATGGGCCGAACTCGTTTTCATTGCATATATAATATTTGAAAATAGCTGGGAAAAAGTTTGTGTCTTGATCATGTGAAGTACATTGTTTTTAGTTTAGAAATGCGTGCCGAGCAGATAGGATTTCGTCTTCCAACTGACAGAGGGGCTACTGAAAAATTGTGCAATCGCACGATCTTATAATGATGATATGAGCATCTTCTCTTGTTTCTCAACGCACCATTGATTGGACTAAAAACCGTCGGGATATTTCGGAATGCCACGCTGATTGTTCTTTTCGTGAATTATTGTGTGTATCAGGCAGTTTTGCATACCGACATCAATGATCATCTAGTAGCACACAATCTTGTATCCGATTTATATAGGTTGTACCTGCATTCTATAGGCTGTTACCTGTGTCTCGAATATCGTTACTGTTTAATAGTTACTATTTAACGACATTCAAATGTCACTTAATACGCGGCACCTGTTTTTTTCAGGTTGCTACGTGTGATGATGTTTCACTTGTGTAGCGTACATTAATCCTTGATTCTATTTACTTCCTTTCAGCTTAATGTCTTCATTTCATCTTCCACCGGGGGAAACAACTAGTAAACAGGCGAAGAATCGGAAAAACCGTGAAAAGAAACGTCTTCGAAATCAAACATTTCAAAATCAATATCCACCATTCGATGGAGCAAAGACGCCGATCATCCACCATATTACCAAAGAAAATTCCATCTCATTGACCGATTCACTTATCGTAAAAGCGCATCGTACATCACGTTACCGGTCTGACACCGAGAGACAAAGAGGAACGAACGAACCAGCTCTCATTCAAATCGAGTTTGTCGATAATTCAACATCACCAACCGTGATTATCGTCAAATTTTCCCATTTACCATTACCATCGTCGACCGTATTCAGCAAAATTAAAACATTATTATCCACCATCTTCGATGATGGCAACAATTTTCTAGCATGGGACAAGAAATGAGACACAGGTGACAGAGGATACTACTCGGAAATAAGAATAATAAGTTTAATAAGAATAAATAAGTTAACAGATGCAAGACAGAAAATATTTATTCAACTATAGGTAATCATAAATCCGACAAAAATACATAGAAAAACAGATATCAGCTGCATCGTGTCATCAAAACAAGCCCGACATGGGCAGAGAGACAAATCTTCACTCCCGAAATTACACTTCATACCGATCACCAGCCACTTTACATTAATTGGTAAACTTCGATATCGCCAGCAGCAAACTGTGCACTATCAGTAAACGTTGCCGAATCGTAACCTAACGTATCAACATATGACAGAAGAATAATAATAAAGCAAAAATTCGTTTGTTCTTGACGATGGCAAGTGACGCCACTTTTTTGTGAAAATAAGGAACTACGAGAACGAAGAATTGGTTNAGAACCGAAGGTTGGACCAAGTTGTGGATCATGATACACATGAGTGAGGCGTTTCGCGTCAGCTTTGAATTTTGTAGTGGGAATGTGATCGGAATTCGTCAGTGTGAAAAGAAATGCTGAGGGATCGGATTTGGAACCGAGTTCTGAGCTCCACGAAATGGCTGTGTATCCACCGAATAGATAACCTGTGTTTTCGCATTGAAGAATTGTCATGGTGGGACCTTTTCCATCACATCGAATATGAAAATCTTTGCAAGCAAAGCTATCTCGTGTTGCTTTATATAGCAGGGTCCATCGCTGATTTCTTCTGCCGTAGAACTCATTCAGTTTGAGGTGATGTTGTTCGTGGTTCAATAGTGTCCCGCCTATGAATAGCTGTTGTGACGGTGACAAAATTGGCTTTGCATTATTAATCACTTTGAAGTTAGAAGATAACCGATATTTATGCGAACGTTCTATTTTTGAAACCGATGGCAAGAAGATAGTGGAACAAGAAAGAGACACAATAAATAGTCATAAAAATATATAAAACGAATTAAATTCACTTCTATAAGAGAAAAAGCGGTTGAAAATAGATACCTCGCAGGTTTATGCTAGAGCTGATCTGCTATTGCTTCGTGACTACTTTGCCTCGCCTTCTTTGTCTTAGCAGGCGAGTCGTACTATTCTTGGGAAGTTTCAGTTCAGCTTTCAAAAACAATTTTCTTGGTCTTTCTTGTTCCATGTTTTCATAGTTGATAGCCATTGACTGGATATTATTTGTCTGTTATTATAGTATTGACAAAATAATTTTCTATTAGAGAATATCCTATGTGCGAATAGATCTCCTTATTTATTTATTCATTCTCTGTTCTCATTCGCATTATGAGAGAGTTGAAAAAATCGACTTTTTTGTCGCCAAAAATTGACGCGTCAGAATCTGATGAATTTTTTATCCTTAACCCTGACACGATCACCTTTAGGAAAACCACTTTTTGTCCGCCTGGGATTCGTGTAGACCCTAGGCTGATAAAACAGGAATAATACATGAAACTATTATTATTTTACAATGTAACGTATGGCATATTCACCATTGGGTAAACCCATGAGTATCAATCCATTTTTCTAGAAAATGTTTTTTCGACCTTTTTCGTGCTAGCTATGTAGGAAGTGGTCAGAAAAAATTGACCGACTTCTACCTAAAATGGTGGATATTCCGGTCATTTTTTAGGAACATCTAAAGAATTGTGATGTTCGTGATTACAAGCATTTGCGCTCATATTTTGCCCATTAGTAGGAAAACATTAGATTAGCACAATCTCCAAAGGATTCTTTTTTTATTGAGCTTTGGCCGAGATATGAATGTTTCAAAACACAGTATTTGTAAAAAAATTATAAAAATATGAATATCGGAAATTCCTGTGCTTTGAAACATTTACACCGCGGTCAAAGCATTTTGAGCTGCTCTATCACATCAATGACAACTGAATAAGATTGACTGATGTTACCAGCGTACTCCACTAAGTGTTCCTAAGGCGTATCTAAAAGGACAAAGTTTGATTTAATGTTATAGATGCATAACATTAAAATGAATCTTGCTGGGGTCTAGACGGACCCCAGGCGGGTAACAAGCGTTTACATGTACTTTGAGCTACTCGATCATGTAACAGCGATTCTATTTGACCGATCGTTGCCATCAGCGTACACTACTAAGTGTCCATAGGGCATATCCAAAGAGACAAAGTTTGATAACGTGTTATCTTTATATAGCAACAAAATCAAAGTGGCTGGGGTCCGGGTGGATCCCAGGTAGTCGTGTCAGGGTTAAAGCTTTACTGACATATTCTTCATGTTCTCGTTGTCTTCGTAAATAACTGTTTGTTTCTTCCACGTACAAATCTCTGCAGTCACAAAAGAAATGTCGTAGATACATTGTACCGGTGCTTTAACATAAACAACATCACTTGTTTTTCGAGCAATGCGTTTAACTCTGCTTACTCTGACACTTACAAGATTTCTGGAATGTTGAGAGTATGTTTTAACGTTGTATGTTGTAATCACACGAGTAGTCATGTTGCTAATGATATGATTTATCTACAACGTTGACTTTGTCGAAATTTTAATTTTGTTCAACTTTTTAATGGAATTTTTAGTGGTAATAATAATGAATCTTGCACTGTCAGTATCGCTTTCAAAATCTGCGTAACACGTTTCGCTAGGTAGAAGTCAATTGTGTTACACATTAGTACGATTAAACGCGTTGAATTATCCTGATGTATTTTTCGCTGATTTTTGACAAATGATAACTGAGAAATTGATAAGAAGAATTTGGATTCCTTGTGAGTTATTTCGCCCTTGTCTGCCATATTTTTGAGCAATGCTGTTATATCCTCATAGATTTTTTTTGGCG